AGGTGACAGATCTGTTGGAGATTCGTGAGATTCGACGAAGGAAATTGGGTTGAGATGATGTGTATTGTTATTGTCAATAGTTGGTGCTCGAGACGGTTGAGAACGTTGAGCAGTGGAAGAAGGTAATTGAGTAGTGGGTAGGAGGAGGGGTGGCGGTATGTGAGTGCTTGTTGAGTTGGTGAGGGACTGATCAGCGTAAGAATTGTTCTTATAGGGGAATTGCTGCTCAAAGAAGGTGACGTGTCGAGAGATGTGAGTTTTGCCGGTGAGAGGATTAAAGCATTTGTAGCCCTTGTGACGAGGTGAGTAACCAATGAAGACGCACGATTGTGATCGGGGTGAGAATTTGTCGGGGGCATAGGGACGGAGCCATGGGTAGCACAGGCAACCAAAGGTGCGAAGATGAGTGTAGTTTGGAAGAGTGCCGTATAGACGTTGTGCAGGAATTTGATTTGAGATGGCTTTAGAAGGTAGAAGGTTGATGAGATAATGAGCAGAGGAGATGGCCTCCGCCCAGAATTTGTGCGGGAGACTAGATTCGTAAAGCATCGCACGGGTGTGATCAAGGAGGTGTCGATGCTTACGTTCTGAGAGACCATTTTGTTCCGGGGTGTGCGGGCAAGAGAGTTGTTGAGAAATCCCGTGTTCCGTTAAAAAAGATTTGAAAGCGAGACTAGTATACTCGCCGCCGCTATCGGAGCGGAGAATTTTAGGGGTGGTGTTAAATTGGGTTTGAGCCATCTTGAAAAAATTTTTAAAGGAATTAAGTGCTTCATGTTTAGAGTGAAGAAAGAAAATCCAAGAGTACCGACTATAATCATCTATAAAGATGATATAGTAACGGTGCCCGTTCAGAGATGGTTGAGGTGTCGGGCCCCAGAGATCAGAGTGAATTAAATCAAAAGGTTTAGCACTAACCGAAACACTTTTATTAAAAACAATCTTATGGCATTTTGCCTTATTACAAGAGTCGCATAAGAAAGAGTGAGCTGCAGGTGCTAAATCCGGTAACTGTCTGGCAAGAACAGACAGCACTTCTTGACTGGGGTGGCCGAGACGCGAGTGCCACGGTGTGGGAGTAGTCGTAGTTGTCGTGAGAGCGGGGTGATGATTGTCCGGGGGGAAGCTGAGTCTGTAGAGACCGTTATGAAGGTGACCAAGAAGTAACGGACGATGGTCTCGAAGATCCTTCATAATAAAGCCATTAGCATCAAAGGAAATTGAAATTGAATTATCTTTAGTGAGTTTAGACACGGATAAGAGGTTATGAGTTAGATCTGGTACGTGAAGTAAGTTGTGAAGACGAAGCTTACGAGAGGAGTCAGGGAGAGGGAGAAGTCCCTGACCGCTGTTATGGATCGGGAGTGTGGATCCGTTGGCGGTGGAGACGGTGTCCGAGCCTTGATATGCGGATGAGTTGTAAAGGTGAGAGGCGTCCGGCGTGAGATGAGCTGACGCGCCAGTATCAAGAATCCAGTCCTGAGTTGGTGTGTTGTTCGGAGTGACAAGGAGAGCTCTCGGCTGGCGAGTGTCAGTGGGGGCGTATTTAAGATTGCAGCGGTGCCAGCAGTTTAGAGCGATGTGACCTGTTTTGCCGCAAATTTGACAGGTTGGTCTCGCGGAGTTCGGAGCAGAGGAGGTGTTGCTGCTGTTGTTATTGTAAGAAGATATGTTGTTGGTGGTGGGAGATGGCAGAGTCTTGTTCTTGGAATAGCGCTTGAAGTTGTTGTTGCGGTTGCGCGAATTCTGGTTGGAGGCGGCGTAAAGAGCAGCGGTAGAGGCATTGGCAGTGAGATCTTGACTGATTTCTTGTTGTAGGTGTATTTCTTCGTTGCACAGCATCGAATAAAATGTGTCCAGATCAATAGGGTGTAGCGAGTTGCGGATCAAGGATTTGAAGGAGTTAAAGTTCGGTGGAAGCCCGTTAAGGATGTGCAGCATAACATCTTCAGGATCTATTTGGGATCCGGAGGCCGAGATGTTGTCCACGATGGACTTGATGCGAGTTAGATACTGTTGCATAGGTAGATCCTTCATTTGTATGCGGTATAGCTCATTCTTGAGCTGCATTACCCTGGACCGGCTGGTAGGTTGGAGCCGGCGTTCAAGAACCGTCCACGCCTCATGAGCAGTCGTAGCAGTGATGATGTACGGCAATATCGATTGTGAAACGGTAGAGAAGAGGGCGGAGAGAAGGTTGCTGTCCACAAGAAGCCATTGAGCGTGAGCTGTAGTAGTGGGATCGGCGGGAGGGCTGACCGTGCCGGTGAGATGACCGGCGTAACCATTTGCGGTGAATTGTTGAAGAATTTGAACTCGCCAAATAGGGTAGTTCTCGATTGTGAGGGAATGAGGTGCAAGGTTCTTGATGTTAGAAACAAGAAATTTGAGGGGTTGAGGAATAAGGGAGGATGAGGCGGTGGTTTGATCGGAGGGGGTGGAGGGAGGAGTGTTTTCCATGGAATCTTGTTCCCTCAAGCCTGCTCTGATACCATGAGAGATTTGAGAGAGAAATGACAAGATCTAGTAGAAACAGAGAAAGCGAGAGAGGGAATAGAGAGGAAGAAGACAAAGTAATAATTCTTGTATATAATAACAGGGTACAGTAGAGAGTAATATATAGCCAGACAGGTGGCAGCAATGTAATAACATAAAGGTAAATACATAAGGCAGTTATATATGCTAATACAATCCTCCCCGGAAATATGGGGATGAATGAAATTTGAGAGTATTATTACAAATAGTAAAGAAAAGTGATCAAGATAATTCCTCTTTCAAAAGGAGGACTAGACAACTCAAGATCGATAATCAGATGAATGTGATTCAAATTGTCACCCTCTTGAAAACAACAATGTTGAATTACTCAAAATCGACATGTGATATAGCTAATCATTAATTTTTTTCTTCTAAAAGAAAAAGAAATTGAAAGACTATTGGTGATTAAGATGATCAATATTGTCTCTCGTATGAAAAGGGGGTATTGAACAACCCAAACTCATCACATGTTGACTTATGTGGTATGTAACTTAAAAAGAAGGGAGATTGAATGATTGAGAGATATTAAGTGATTTGAGGTAATTGGGACAAGTTATATGCTTAAATGGGATAATTACATGATTAAGAGTGAACTAGTGATCAAAAATAGTAGGGACAATCCTTCTCCTAAATGATGATGCTAGTATATGGATTCAATGACCTTAAGCCAATAGATGTAAGAAGGTTGGGGCAATCCCTTTTCTTAATTGGAGAAGTCAATAGTGATTAGAATTCATGGTTATTAAATTAATTGACTAAAGGTGGTTGAGGTAGTTCTACTCTCGCTGATACAAATCCAATAAGGTTGGTCAAGCTAAATTGTCGTATTAATAAGAACAATGTGGTGATTGAATTTAAGGTCACCACAAAGTTACAACAACCGAATTATTGTATCATAATATTTGTCACATTAAGAGCAATTATATATTAAAGATGTCTCAAAAAGCATAGATCTATAGAGGATATAGGAAGACAAAATTAAAGACCACTATCTTATTAGATGAACTATATACAAACATACATTTTTGATGCAATCTTGTAAGGCCAAGCACAGGTTACACATGAATATAGCTTGTCAAAGATTTGATTGGTAGGGGTAGCATCTTCATTGTCATGGGGAGTATCAATTACAAGCGCAACACCCCCTCTTGGGCAAAGAGGAAGTAGAGATTTTTGAACACCTTAAGAATGTGAAGCTAAACTCTTGAACATCGATGTATTTTTTTGTTTAATAATTAGAATATCAAAACTCTAAGGTTAAACATGCTGGTATAAGAGCACTCTTAGGATGAGTGACCTCCAGAAAAATTACACTAATGACACTAAATCATGAGCCCATTAGAACAAAGAGGATAATATCTTAATAGTTATGAGTTTAGGAAGTTATAAATGGTATCAAGGCAATCTAGCAGTCGGAAGATGAAAATTAATTGTCATACAATATAAATTGCAACGTCATGCAAGCACCTTTAAAATCTTAGATAGGATGAAGTGTTACATGGAGGGAGTCGCCTCTTATACTTGTATGACCATTCTAACATCATATATTCCTGGTGAATGATTCTAAGCTAAGGATGTTAATAAGAACTTCAATTATTTAATTTTAGGAGGTTGTGAAACCTCTTTAAAAAATGAAGGTAAACATTCAAAATATTGCAACAACTTTTGGTGTAACGGTTTTAATTTTATTAGAATATCTAAATTTAATGTACTTGTATATAAGTGTACTTATAAAATAGGTGACCCATAAAATGTTGTACAAACGACAACTTAGCATTTCTCATTTAAAAAAAAAAAAAAACATAATAGCTGTAGTCATGAGCCATGACTATGGATTAAGTGAGTGTAAGAGAAATACACTTAAATACAATCTATTTATCTAATGCTTTGCCCTCTTTTGATATACTATTTAATTGTTAATAATGATTTTTATACTTATCTCTATCCACTCACCACCTCTTGTCCGTAAACCTATTTTTTATAAACAAAATGATATCTGCATCAGAATGAAACAAAAGATGAAAATCCGCATAATTAAGGTTCTATTTGAGACATCTTTTTTATTGTTTTTTAAAGCAATTTTTTAGTACAAAATTTTTAATTAAAAAATATTTTTTTAAAAAAAATTACTTCGTAAAACAATAAAAAAATATTCCCAAATAAAAACTAAAGAAAGCCAATAAAAAGCAGCTGCACTAACGAAAAAGCCAAAGAATGGGAAGATGAAGAGAAATCTACTTTCCAATAAAAAATTCTAATACCACCAACAAAATTTCAACTTACGAAAGTGAAAGCTGAAATCAGAGAGGAGGAGGGAAAATGAAGACCCAGCCCTTAAGCCACAGGTCCGCCTCTGCCCTTTACCAAATCCCTCAAAGACATCTTTCCTTTACCCCAAATTGTCCTTTTGCCCGTACCGACCCGTGCTATCACCTCCACATGCTTCTGTCCCTCCACTCCTCACTCCTCCTGCTTAAATACCTTCTCCTTCCTTCCCTTCCCTTCATCTCCATCCATCAAAGCCTTCTTCTTCTTCTTCTTCTCTTCTCTTCTTGCTTTTCATTTCCCACTCTTCGCTTCTTCCGATGGCTTTGAAGAAGGCGGGCCGATTGCCTCAAGCGGCGGTTTTGAAGCAGATTCTTAAGAGATGTTCCAGCTTGGGGAGAAAGCAGGGGATGGGAGGAGGAGAGGAAGAGGAAGGGTTGCCTCTTGACGTCCCAAAGGGACACTTTGTAGTTTATGTGGGTGAGAAAAGAAGCAGATTCATCGTTCCTATTTCTTTTCTCACTCACCCTGAGTTCCAAACTCTGTTGCGAGCGGCCGAGGAGGAGTTCGGCTTTCACCATGATATGGGCCTCACAATCCCCTGTGAAGAAGTTGTCTTTCGTTCCCTTACTTCCATGCTGAGCTGATAAGCTTGAGCAAGTTCTGTGTTTTAATGTCTCCGAGATGGTTTTCTGTAGAGAGGAAAAGCCTAATTTATGATTAGTTCTCTGTTTCTTCTCTGTAGTTCCCCTGTTTCGGTTATCAGGACTTCTACCATTTGTTTCATTGATTTGTAAACGGTTTGCATTTGTAAATTGCAGGTGGCGTGTGGTTTTTGCGCCCTGTGAGATGTAATACGGAAGTGAAAGAGTGGAAAATGGTTCCTCTGTTACTATTTCTCAGCCTCTGCTTTTTTTAGTTTTATTAGATGATAACGTTTGAAATTGTGAAGGCGTGTAAGAGTATTTTGTTTTAATCTAATATTGGCTAATTTAAAATTTATGAACGGAAAATTTTTCCTTAATTCAAGCTTTTTATTTGATAATGATTTGATTATTGCAAGCTTATGAAAATTTTGAATCTTTCTTCTATCATCGTTGGGTAAGGGCATCTCCACCTCAAAAATTTATTTTTCAGTCTGAAATATAGTAAGGGATATAACAAATAGTAATTCTATCTTCAATGGAATTTTATTTTTAACATAAAAATAAATATTCACTTCAAAGCATAAAAATATCTTTCTGAATGCTACACGGTTCGGATGCTCGTGCCACTATAAATGCCCGAATAATGTTTGGTTGGAGTTGCCCTAAGCAGTGGCCGAGAGAGGGCAAATTATTACGTCCGGTGTTCGGATTCGTCTGGACACTAATTCAGACGCGTCATGTCACCAAAATGCACCGGGACTCAATGTATTCGGGTGACATGGCGCGTCTGAATTGGATGTCCGGACGTCCGGTGACCAGACGTAATAATTTGCCCCGAGAAAGAGGGGCCTAGGGGGCACATGCCCACCTCCAAAATTTTACATTAAAGAAATTAACTACTAAAACAATATTCCATAGGTTGAACTTGGGCCCTAACATACATCAAATATTAATTTTAAGCCGTTATTAATCTTTTCGGTCTTGTTCAGTAACTATATATACACATGTACGTCGAAGTAATTCCCACAAATGGGATTTTGGGAGAGTCTCAACAGTTAAATTATATAATATTATATTTGATAAAGTTATGGATCATTAGTGACGTTATAAGTTTGTATGCATAACATATATTGTTTAGCAAGTCGGACCATAGAGCCAATATAAGTTCTATAAAATATGGGAATGCAGTTACCGATGCTTTGTCCTTTGTGATGGTCCTGCAGTCTTTCAAAGGAGAGGAGAGCAATTAGTCAAAGGAACTGGCTTTCACTTCCAGCAACTTGCATTTTTTTTAAATAATTTTTGTTTACACGCGGGATTTAAGGAGACCTTGCCTGTTTGATTTCAAATACCTTTATATTTTAAAAAAGACAAATAATAAAATAATTTGATGGCCGATTTATAAATTTTGTACTTAGTATGATTCATAAAATTATCCGTTTAAACACCCTGAAATTTGTTTAAGTAGTAATTTAAATTCTAGTACATCAATGTCATCGACCAACAATCTGGCTTCTCGAGTTGATCTGGCCTAAAAGGGTGCACTTCTTTGATCACTTCCTAAGATGGGAGAAAATTATTTGGGTCATCTAATTGAAGGCACTAATTTTATAAATCCTGATAAAAGAATAAAAATGCTCATTTTGAAAGTTATAAATATGTTGCCAAGAGAGGTTCACACCAGCTATCTTTTCATGTGTGATGCTTGATGATCGTCGTTGCATGTTATTTAATATTTGTTATCACTAGTGGTTTAATGCTCGTTATTCATCACGGCTTACCCTCAACTCTTGTGGTTGCTTGCTATATAATGTTGTTCAATAACTAACGTTGATATTCATCACCTTTCAATTTTTAACATTTGTCGTCGCATACTGCTTAGTGTTCTATGTTGACCACCGACATAGTTATTAACCACTACTGATGGAGATAACCACATACAATCCAAATATTTATATTATGATCACAAGTTAGTCATCAACCACTACTAATGAAATAATTCAATACAATCCAAGTGTTTACATCATAATCACAAGTAATTTAATCACATGAAAATAGGATCATTGTAATCACAGCTTTATATTAGTGGAACTATTTTCAAGCTGATTAGGCTCCATTATTTTTCTCTTTTTAAAATTTTTGATTAAAAATTATGTACTTATATGCATAATTATTGTTTATATATGTGCAATTGTGTTATTCGTGCAAGGTAAAACATAAATTTTAAATGCCTATCATCACATATTTTCTAGCATATAACAATTTGATGACATCTATGAGAAGCCACATCACAATATGTTGTCTAACTGATCATAGGCAACCCCTCTAATGTCGAACAAGTGTAATACCCACAACAACGAAGGGTCTCAATGTAGATCACTTTATCCAATGAACCATTCCCTATGTCGAGTTCAAGCTTCCACCTTTTCACTTCCTTTCAAATTTTCAAAAAAAAAAAAAAAAAACTAAAATGAAATCCCCTTTTGGAATGTACATCCCATTAGAGGATCGAAAGTGATCAACCACCAGCCAATCAAGCTGTTAGAAAATAAATGTATGATTGTAGAAATATCTATTGCATTCCTTATGTATATTCTATATGGGGATCAATGCCCTAGCATAGACCACATCCTTCAATATATGCTCATCTTCTTATACTTGGGTCTTTAATGGTGTCCCATTGTCATAAAGATTCACATAGAGCATATGCTCAAGTGATAAGTTAATATTGTAGTCGATGTTCTCAAACTTTTTGGCATCACTTTTAATCCAACTCACACCAATCCCTAAATTAGTATAATTATTCTAACTTAGCCATTAAATATACCTTGCCAACTTAGACACTACATTGGCTCCATTATGATTGGGTGGCAAATACACTTAATATAGTAAGAAATACCCAATTAATGCTAGGTCACGATCTTACTTGTATTCTTGATCATCCATAGTGTAATGGAATCCCGTCCACTTTTAGCTTGATTGATGCCACATGAGTAGATTCTGACTAAGTTTGTATCAAACACACTAATTAAGAATTTATTAAAAATAGTCTAATTTGACCTATAACCTATATTAGATCTATGATTTATATAAGTCTAGTTTAGTCAAACCCTTAAACTACAATTAACATAATTAGTTGATGTTGGGACCACCATAGGTCAATTAAGAGTATCTTAAGCTTCTATGACCAAATGGAATACACTTGAACCCATTAGGTTAATCTCATAAGCTATGACGAGGCAACATAGTCCACTAAAGAACATGGGCAAGCTACAATCAAACTCTAAGTTAACCCTAGAATTAAAATGACTTAGAATTATAATAAAATGGCAAATCAAGTTCATTAGAGCATTGAGGAGGCATTTAGTCAATCTACAAACCAATCCAACAATCAAGTTGATGGAGGTCACCAAAGCATAAATATGGAGGATCTTCTTTGTAGGATGGAAGAACAATAAGTGCAAATCATTTAGCTCTTATAAGAATCCACTTAATAAATAAATTCATCGCCATATGAGAAAGTTATCTACCCTTTTAATCAACAACACATTTGGCTCAGTGAGGCATATAATTTTTATTTCCTAGAGGCAATTAAAGATCTATATTTTTTTAAAAAATTATCATATATCTCATGTTATATATATTAATAAAGTATTTCTTCAACTAATGATATTACATATTATATCTTATACTAAAAATATGTTATGATAGTAAATGATAAATAAGGTTTATACTCTAAATCTATAGAAAACAAACATATAAGAAAGCATTGATGGAAAGTCAGTAGTAAACACAATGCTCACTAGAAATACTTTATGAGAAAAAGTGAGTAATGAAATCTCTACTCATCAAAATCTTCAAAAGATATAAGCTTTAGCGGGTACAAATAATTAAAAATTTTCAAATGTAAAAACTCATGGAGATACATGCTCTTTAAAAATCTCAGAAAGCATTAGCCATCGAAGATATAAATTTAAGGAAAAAAAAACTCAAAAGACATACTCCATAAAAATTACAAATTTCTTTGAAATTTTCAGAAGGCTTAAGTCATAGAAAGTATAAATTCCTTAAAAAAAAATCAAAAGATATAAGACACATAAGGCATAAATCCTCTAAATAATCTCAAAGTCTTTAAACCTCAAAAAATATAAATTTTATAAGAAATTTCAAATAGCATAAGTCTCAAAAGGTAGATTTTCTTTTTCATCTATAAAATCTAGTTAAGGCATAGGCCTCACAATACATACTCCTCTTCGTTCAAAAACATCAAAGACAAACAAATTAATAATGCATGAAGTCTTCATCAATCAAAAATAAAGGATACTATATATGCTCGAATTAGTGGGCAATATCTTTTGATTGTTAATAACTCAAAGATTTAACAATAGCATCTTAGATTTCACAAAAATTGAAGATTTCAAATAATACTTCTATAAAAAATCTAAAGGGCTTAATCTCTTATAAGGGAAAATTTTTAAATTTCTAGATTATTTGTACTTGGAGATTTAAAATTAATTAACTATTATTTCAAAATTTTTTATTATATAAATTAGTTAAACTTATATATTAATGCATTAAAAAAAAAAATCCTCCGTTTTCAAAAACGGAGAAGGCAAAAAAACGCTCAAACAAATAAAGCCTCAATAGTATTATATATTATTATTGATGGTTCAAATGTTCAGTACTTTTGATTAAAAAAATATATCAGAGCCACTTTATGTGGTCCTTAAGATGATCACTCTGTACCATCAATCATAAGCACTTGTTCCTTCTTTAATTCTCCTCCGTTGCAGTAAAGCTATGAAAATAATCGACAATCTTACAAATAAGATTCAAGATAAAGGTCACGAAGATTTGTGGTAGCTTTTTGACCATCATATGGTCCTCTTAATTATTTGCGTATCTTATGTCAACATGGGGATAGGCTCTAGCTTTTAAAAATAGAAAAATAATATTACAAATAAAACACTAATGATGATCATTAGAAACTATGATTTTGATGAAGAGATTTAGATTTTATTTGAGATAATTCTTTTTATTGCCTCATTTAGTATAAAAATTAATTTTTTTTATTAAAAATTTGCTTTAAGAAACAATAAGAAAGTCATCTCAAATAAAACTGTAATGATGGAAATTACATACTTGATATGAATGAGAGGCTTTGCGCCTATTTGGGACAGCTGAAGCGTTTCATAAGATCGGTTGTGAAGTTATTGTAGAGAAAATAAATTAGCTATTATGGTTATTGTAGTTTTTTTGTTGCTTTCAAGAAATTTCAGTACTGGAAAACTACTTTAGAAATCTGTAAAAAATTTATCCCTAACAAAGCCTAAATTATGGTTGCTTTATGAAGAACAAA